CCCGGCTTCAGTCCCAGGAGTTTATTTTATAGTCAATACAGCAAGCAGTGAAGCAAATAACAGAACAATGGGCTTTGGGTGAATAACAATAAGTTTTGGGCAAGGGAGGAGGAATTCAGGTAAACAAGCCAATCAGTAACAGGTTTGGAAAAACAAGTCGTGACAAGTCTCAACATGTTGGGAACAAGTCTGAACATGTTGTGCAGCATAGAGGCCTTTATACATCCATATTTTAATGGCACATATCCCCACAGAAGAGGCTGCACCGGTCCGGTTCACTATTATTACTCCTTATTGCTAACCCCCGCATTGTCTCATGATCTTGTTTTTCCCTCCTGTTCTAGTCTCTATAAAAAGTTTAAGATTAACCAGTGTTCCTCCTTGGAGGGTGGAAGACAAGTGATAATGATCTAGGAATGACAAACCAAACAAAGCACCCATCTTGGGACAAGAAAACCAGGACGTCGCCAGATAACCCCCAAGAAAAGATTAACTCATCTGGGGATGTGACCACCTCAAGGGGGAACTAACACAAACTTCTAAGACCCATAATCCTGTCCCTATAAAATCCTTTGGCTGATCTCCAGTGGTGGAGACGGGTTTTTGGAGGAATCTATTCCCCTGTCTCCTATATACCGATATATAATGAAACTCTTACTGCTCACCTCACCCCCGTCTCAGAATTGGCTATCACTACAGGCAGCTCCAATCCACGTTATTGTGGTAACACAACCAGGGCATCAGCCCTAAAATCGGTGCATGTGTGATGTTTTCAAGGCACATCAAGGAGACCAGCGTGGCTTCAACAAGAGTAAGCTGGGGGAGAAGCTGGGGGTGGGGTATTCATTCTCACAGACCTCATAGGTCATTGTAAGGACTCTGGCTTCTTTGCTGAGTGAAATGCAAAGCCATTGCAGGGTTTTGAGAAGAGACCTGATCTGACATTTAAAAGGATCATTTAAGCCTCTGTGTTGAGAGTTCTTATATTAGGGTTATAGAAGTTAACTTAGCAGTGTGGCTGCTTAGTACTTTGTAAAAGTTACCCCTTATTGTTTGTAATGGGTGCTGGTAGTGCCCCACCCAGATCCCCTTTACTAGCCAGTATGCCATTCCCAGATGCTGTGGCTGTTGGTCAGTGCCTCCTTCTCTTGAGAACTTCCCTCGGTCAAAGCAGGAGCCACTTTTCCCTGACTGGCTTGGGACTACAAAAGGTCATGTTCCTGCCTCAAGAGCAGACTGATTCCCAGGCCTTAACCTATCAGAGCTGGCCCAGTTGGATTTTAAAATTGCTTGGGACCAGAGGTTCCTTTTTTCCCTTCCATTTTCTCCCTTTTTGAATGAGAATGTCTGCAACTGGTATCCTATGGCTATCCCATCATTGTATTTTGGGAGCATATAACTCGTTTTCTAGTTCCACAGGTCCACAGATGGAGAGGAATGTTTTTCCCAGGATGGATCATGCTCTGAACCTCTATAACTTAAATGGTTAAGATGATGAGATTTGGGACTTTTGAGCTGATGAGATTTAGATGATATATTGGACTTTGAGTTGATGCTGTAATGGATTGAGACTTTGGGGGAAGTTGGGATGAGGTGAATCTATTTTGCATATGGATGGACCTGAATCTTTAGAGCCAGAGGGCAGCCTATAGTCAGCTGAATAATGCCTCCCCCAAACTTGTCCATGTCCTAATCCCCATAACCTGTGAATATGTCACATGGCAAAAGGGACTTTGCAAATGTGATTTAGAATCTTGAGATGGGGAGATTATCCTGAATTATCTTCACAGGTCCAGTTTAATCAATGACAAGAGTTGAGAAGGAAACGTGAAGACAAAATGAGAGATCACAGTGAGTTAGGGCCATGAGCCCAGGAATGTGGGCAGCCTCTAGAAGCTGGAAAAAGAAAGGAAATGGATTCTTCCCTAGAACCTCCAGAAGGAATGCAGCTCTGACGATACCTTGATTTTTAGTCTACTGAGACTGAGTTTTGACTTCTGCCCTCCAGAACTGTAAGAGAATAAATTTGTGTCATGTTAAGTCACTAATTTTGTGTTAATCTGTTACAATGGCAATAGGAAACTAATGCAGGAGCCAACATGAAGTTCATGCTGCCTGCTGTCCTGTGAGTAATGAAGTCTGTTGTCTCTTACTCAGGAGTCTAATGTCTTCTGGCAGCACACATGCAACTGTGGCAGGATAACTTGGTAGGCTGCAAGTACAGTAAAATCTCAGACCCTTCAGTTCTTGATTTACTTCATAAAAACGATGAAATAGTCATGGATATTTTTCCAACCTTTAAATATCCTTCAGTTTTCTGACTAATAAATCTGCTTCTAGTAAGATACCACTTAAATAGCTTTGAACATTAATAAGAAATAGCCCATGGTTTATATTTGGTTAAATAATTTATGAATAATTAGTAGAAATTAATAAAATGAGCATTCTTTACTACTTTTACTGTGTTGTAGAGAATATTCAGGAAAATATGTATCTATTTGTAAGAATGTGTTAATGCAGATTTAATTATTAAGAAATACTCTGTGCTTTGTTCTTCTGTTTAGTGTCAAGAGTCTTAAAGAATAATCTTTTCCTCAAAAGACATTACTATGGCAAATGGATTTCTTTTGGTTGGTTAATTCCTAAAGCATGTCTGGTGCATGACTGGGACCCCTGAGATGATAGAATCAACACTGCCCACTCCAAGAAATTTGAAGGTATTATAAATGAGGTATAGTTTTTAAAGGAAATAGGAAAAATAGATGTGGGAAAATAAAGAACCAGAGAAAATTCCTCTGCGATCAAATACATTTATTTTACAGCTAAAGCAAGACAGGTGGTGAACAAATTCATAATGAAAATGCTACTCACAAACTAGCAGCTGGCCATGCGTGCAACTGAGGGTATGTGCAAAACCAGGTTATTTCCAATACCAGTGTGCAGATTTGATTTCTTCATGGAATTAACTCTACATTGTACACATATTAACATAATCCAGGCCACCATGAATATCTGTTGGTGGGGTATTTTCAACTCACTCACCGTTTCAGCTCAAAGCCCACACACTAGCCAGATGACCGTCACCTACCTGTCTATAGTAAATAGACAGCCTGGCGAGTGGCACTTTTCTTGTTCTGTAGCCAATGGCACTGCATCGTGACCAGACACATGTACACCAACACAGAGACAAACAGGACAGCTCCTCTCCTTACCTCTCCTTACTCGGCTGACAACTTTCTCTACAGTTCTTGGGGACAGGAGTGCCATGCAATGTACCATGAATTGGAATTCATTCTGAGGGCGATGAGCTGTCCCCCATGTTTGAGCATGAGTGGCCTAAGGGTCTCAGAAGAGTGGTTTCAGCACAAGCCAGCAGAAGTGCTAGCCAACAGTGACTGTGTGAGACAAGTCTCCTGACAGCCTAGTACACCCCCGGGCCCCTGGGCTAAAGCTGGGCTTGGTTAATGGCTGGATGGAAGGTATAGACATTTGGGGGCTCCTACAACAACAGACAAGAAGCAGTGCCTTAGTTTATACTGTTTTATGCATATCCCAGCCTCATCTGGATGCAAAGTCATAAATTCACCAAATATCAGAGCTGGGAGGGTTACTGCAGCCATCTCATAGTAAAAAATGTGGCAGCCCAGAGAGGTGAAACAAATTGCTAAACGGCACAGAACATGGTAGTGGCAGTCAGATTAGAAAGCAGTATGCTGACCCCTATTCCAGAATGCTGACACTAAATATTTCGCCAAATTTTTCAACAAGGATAATGGAAATAGTGTAAATACTTTAATCCAGAAAAAAGCCCCATGTGTGTTTAAAGCCACACAAATTGCCTATTTACTCTGCTTAATCAGGTCTTGCTCTTTTCTTTCTTTCACGTACACACATGCGCGCACGCGCGCACAATTGTGGTGAATGAAGATTTCTTGCTATACAAAGACAGAATCCACGTCTTCAGGAAGGCCTTTATAAAGCATGTTTCTCAATCCATGTCTTTGTGTGAGGTCTGGCAAACTGGCTTATTTTCTAAAACAATGCGTGGGTCAGAAATCAGAAGATCATCCTCCCCAAAGGAGGAGTTCTGGTCTGAGTTCACAAAGTTGGGGATGTCGAACTTCATGAGCCTGTTCAGCTCCTCCTCAGGCCTCCCACTGCCTCGGAGGGCTTCCTGGAACTGAACATCACTGTCAAGGGCTGTGGTCTGGTGACAAGCCTTGGGCCTGTCCAAGTGGTCCACTTCATTGATGTAACAATGAAAGAGGGACCTGGATTCCTCATTGCCCTGGCGACAAAACACCTTATCCGGCTCCAGTGGTCTTCCAAAGTCTGACACAAAGCTGTTCATTCTGAATCTCTTTTCAGAAGATTCTGCATTGCTATAAAGGAGAGAAAATAACAGATTATTTACACGGTAGCTCATTCACCTGCAGAACCATAGTTTTTGGCACACAGGGCAGGCCAGTGTATTTCCATGGAGCACCTATACAGGGCATGCAGGGAAACATCAAAAATGAGAGACTTCTGAAAATGTTCAAACAAACCCAAGTCAGAAGCTTAGGGATGAGAGCCCCTAGAGCATCCTGAGAGCAGATACCTTGCTAGGGAATCCCGTAATATTCTACATTATTCACCGATGTTTCTCAGTGGGATTCTTGGATTATTTGTATCACAATTACTTGAAGTACTTCTTAAATTGCAGATTCCTAGAGTCACAGGTCCCTAAAATCTCTGGATGTGGGGGATTTTCACAAGACCCCCAAGGATTAGAAGTTTAGAACCACTGGCCTGCAACAATGATCATACTATCTCATAGTGGTATGTTCAATATTTGTCAAAGCACTGTCATATCCATTTATCTCCTTTGATTCTCAAAATAAAACAAGGCAGTCATGTAGGGCAAGAATTATAATACTCATTTCATTGTTAGGTGCTGTTAAGTTGTTTCCAACTTATAGCAACCCTATGTACAACAGAACAAAAATGCTGCCCGGTCCTGCACCATCCTCACAATCATTGTTATGCTTGAGCCCACTGTTGTAGCCACTGTGTCAATCCATCTCGTTGAGGGTCTTCCTGTTTTTCACTGATCTTCTACTTTACTAAGAATGATGTCCTTCTCCAGGGACTGATCCCTCCTGATAACATGTCCAAAGGATTTGAGACAAAGTCTTGCCATCCTTGTTTCTAAGGAGCATTCTGGCTGTACTTATTCCAAAATAGATTTGTTCATGACTCATTTGACAAATGCATAAACTAAGGTAACCAAAACCAAACCAAATCTGTTGACATCAAGTCAATTCTGACTCACAGTAACCCTTTAGGACAAAGTGGAAATGTCCCATCGGGTTTCCAAGGCTGTAAATCTTAACGGAATCAGACTGCCACATCTTTCTCCTGCAGAGCCACTGGTGGGTTCGAACCACTGACCTTTTGGTTAGCATCTGAGCTCTTAAAACACTGCACTATCACTCATAAACTAAGGTAAGGAGCAGTCAAATTGTCCACTGAGTCAAACAGCCAGTTAGTGACAGGAGTAGGATGAAACCCAGGTTCCTAATTCCTTGTTTCACTTAATGTAGAACAAATTAACAGTTCAATGGGAATGAATGAATGAAATAACTCTCAATTTGTCCCATAAATGCATGAAAGAAAGAGCACAGGTAAATTGAATAACCTAATAGGCACAGTGGGTAAAGCGATCAACTGCTAACTGAAAGGTCAGCGCTTCAAAACCACCAGCAGCCACGGAAGAAAGATGTGGCAATCTGCTTCCATAAAGATATATAGCCTTGGAAACCCTATAGAGTCGCTATGAGTTGGAATCAACTTGACGGCAGTGAGTTTGGTTTTTTGGTTTTTTTGGATAGCCTATCTACTTTAATCACCACCCTTTCCAGACTTATACAAGGGTTGCTCACGCTCATATAGTAACTCCTTAAGGGTAAGAATCCTGTCTACACATTTTCAAATCGAGAACAGAATCTGACAAAAGTTAGGCTCTAAAGTATGTATTCAGTGAATGTATGATCTTTTTAATGATTTCAGTTCTTAAATCTCTTTCCTCCCATTCTATCACTCAGTATAAAGCACTTATGACCAAATTCTTATGGGTGAAGGGAGCGTGGATTCAATTTATCTGGTCATATATCACAAACCTCCAAATTATCAAGAATCACCTGGATTTCACCTACTTTGGTGAGTGGTGTCTGGGGTCTTAAAAGCTAGCAAGCATCCATCTAAGATGCATCAATTGGTCTCAAACCACCTGGAGTAAAGGAGAATGAAGAACACCAAAGACACAAGGAAAGTATTAGCCCAAGAAACAGAAAGGGCCACATAAACCAGAGATTGCATCATCCTGAGACCAGAACTAGATGGTGCCCAGCTACCACTAACGACCACCCTGACAGGGAACACAACACAGAGTCCCTGATGGAGCAAGAGAAAGATAGGGGGCAGAACTCAAATTCTAGTAAAAAGACCAGACTTAATAGTCTGACTGAGACTGGAGGAACCCCAGAAAGCATGGCCCCCAGACTCTGTTAGCCCAGAACTACAACAATTCCCAAGGCCAACTCTTCAGACAAAGATTAGACTAGACTATGGGATATAAAATGATACTAGTGAAGAGAGTGCTTCTTAGTTCAAGTAGATACATGAGACTAAATGGGCAATTTCTGTCCAGAGGTGAGATAAGAAGGCAGACAGGCTCAGGAGCTGGTTGAATGGACATGGGAAATCAGGGGTGGAAAGGAGGAGTGTGCTGTCACAGTATAGGGAGAGCAATTAGGGTCATATAACAATGCATGTATAAATTTTTGTATGAGAGACTAACTTGAATTGTAAACTTCACTTACACTACAACAATAAAAAAAAAAGAAATTAAAAAAAAAAAAAGAATCACCTGGATTTCAGAGGTCAGTCATCCTAAAAGATTTGCAATCCAGCCAACTGAGGGATTTTTATTCCAGATCTATCTCCTACCATGATTACTTGAGAGGCAAGGAATTCCCCTCAAAAATCTGAATTATTTCTATTAGTTATAAGCCTGTTAACAAATCTCATTGCCAGCTAAGCAGATGTGTTGTGAAGATAAATGATTTATACAAGAGTAAAACATTCATCAGGTCTTGTATTAAGAGTTCAGAGAAAAAATCACTTTAGAGACACTCTGAAGACTTGTGCATCAATGCAAATTTAAGTGGTCTTTTTTGTCTTTCAAATGATTTTTCCCCCCATAATTGTCATTTCACTAAGGTTTGAAAGATGTTTGAGAACAGGGATGAATATGCCAGCAATCTGTGACCAATAAGCTAAAATGTCACCTAGGAAAAAGAAAGGCTTAAAGTGTTTGGAAAAGCATGATTAAGACTGCTGGGGCCACACATCAATAGTCAACTGATTTCTGACAAGGGTGCTAAGTCCATTCAGTGGGGAAAGAAGAGTCTCTTCAATAAATGGTGCTGGGAAAATTGCATATCCACACGCAGAAAAATGAAACGGGATCCATGCATCACGCCATACACAAAAACAAATTCAAAATGGATAAAGAACCTAAATGTGCAAACTAAACCCACTGCCATCAAGTCGATTCTCACAGCAGCCCCATAGGATTTCCAAGGCTGTAAATACTTACGGAAGCTGACTGCCACATCTTTCTCCTATGGAGCAGCTGGTAGGTTCGAACCATCAACCTTTTGGTTAGCAGCCGAGTGCTTTAACCACTGCACCACCAGAGCTCCCTGTGGTGTGCAAACTAAAACTACAGAATTCTTAGAGGAACAAGCAAGAGCAATGCTGTGAGGCCTAGCTTTCAACAATGGATTATCTAATATAATAAAAGCACAAACAGCAAAAAATAAAATAAACAGGACCTCAAAAAAATTAAAAAATTAGTTCATCAAAAGACTTTACCAAAGTTACCACTTATATACAATAAAAAAATAAAAATTTTAAAAAAAGACTTCACCAAAAAAGTGAAAAGATGAGCTATCGACAGAGAGTATCTTTGGAAACCACATATCTGACAGGAATCTAATAAACAAAATATATATAAAACTTTAACAACTTAACAACAAAAAGACACATAACCCAATCATAAAATGGGCAAAGGACATGAATAGACATTTCACCAAAGAGGACATTCGAATGGCCACCAAACACATGAAAAGATGCTCAGAATAATTAGCCACAAGAGAGATGCAAATCAAAACCACAATGAGATACCATTACACTCCCACTAGGATGGCAAAGTTAAAAAAAAAAAGAAAATAACAAATGTTGGCAAGGATGTGGAGAAACTGGAATCCTTACGCATTGCTGGTGGGAATACAAAATGGTACAGCCTTTGTGGAAAACAGTGTGATGGTTCCCCAAAAAACTAAAAACAGAACTACTATATGACCGAGCCACCACACATTTGTCAGTCTGTCCTACTGTAGTGGCTTGCGTGTTGCTGTGATGCTGGAAGCTATGCCACCAGTATTTCAAATATCAGCAGGGTCACCCATGGTGGGCAGACTAGGAAGAAGAACCTGGCGATCTACTTCTGAAAAAACTGGCCAGTGAAAACCTTATGAATAGCAGTGGAACATTGCCTAATACAGTGTTAGAAGATGAGCCCCTCAGGTTGGAAGGCACTCAAAAGATGACTGAGGAAAAGCTGCCTCTTCAGAGTAGAGCTGACCTTAATGACGTGGATGGAGTCAAGCTTTTGGGACCTTCATTTGCTGATGTGGCACGACTCAAAATGAGAAGAAACAGCTACAAACATCCATTAATAATCAGAACCAGGAATGTACAAAGTATGAATCTAGGATAACTGGAAGTCGTCAAAAATGAAATGGAACATATAAAGATCGATATCCTAGGTGTTAGTGAGCTGAAATTGACCAGTATTGGCCATCTTGAATTGGATAATCATACGGTCTATGACAGGAATGACAAACTGAATAGGAATGGAGTTGCATTCATCGTCAAAAAGAACATTTCAAGATCTACCCTGAAGTACAATGCTGTCATTGATAGGATAATATTCATACGCCTACAAGGAAGACCAGTTAATACGACTATTATTCAAATTTACGCACCAACCACTAATGCCAAAGATGAGAAACTTGAAGATTTCTACCAACTTCTGCAGTTTGAAATTGATCAAACATGCAACCAAGATGCACTGATAATTACTGGTGATTGGAATGTGAAAGCTGGAAACGAAGAAGGATCAGTAATCGAAAAAAAGGGTCTTGGTGACAGAAACAACAATGAAGATCACAGATAGAATTTTGCAAGACCAATGACTTCTTTACTGCAAATACCTTTTTTCAATAACATAAGCAGCTACTGTATAGGTAGACCTCACTGGATGGAAAACACA